CTCGACTCAAGAGAGCAAGGAAGAAAGTGGAAGAAGATGTCGTGGCCCCAGCCTCGACCCCCAAGCCGCCTGAACGCCGCCAAAAGCCGACCACACCACCACTGCTCCGCACCGCCCAACACCACTGCTCGAAAATCGGAAACATCAGCCCTCCCAGGCCCAACACCAGAGTACAGGGGGAAAAGGCCGAGTTTAGTGTAGCCGCTCCAGCCGCCCGACACCAACGCCGCCGAACGACTGAGCCACGTTCCACCCGCAGAACCGCACCCCAGCCACATCCACCACAAACCAGAGAAGCTGCCGACCAGGGCTCACAAAACAGGCGCCGGAAAGGCGAAGACCGTCCATGAAAGTCGATGGCGAACTCCAGTGCAACGGACGGGTAGGGCGCGAAAACGGGGCGGGGTCCAGGCTGTCGAGGGCCGACCGCCGGCTCGAGCTCGATTGCCACTGAGGAGCAAATCGAGAGCAGAACTGAAGGCGACGACGAGTGGATAGAGGAAGGGAGAATAGAGGATTAAGAGTTTCGGGTATGATTTCGTATAAGATTTTTATTTATTTCGACAAACATTAAAAAGTCTTAGTAAATCATAATTCACAATGTCAAATAAGTTAAATATCTAAATATTAGTTAAGACATTTTGAAATCTCAAATAAATACTTAAAGTCTTAAAAAGTTAAAATCAAATTGACAAAAAATCTTAAAATCAATTCGGGTGTCCTAGTAATTTCAATTATTTCAGTGAATTATTCTATGTATTTTATTTAAATATTATCTAATCTATATATATTGAAAAGAGTTGATGGAATAATCTAGAATAGTAACTTTGACTGTGTTATTAAATAGATTAACTTACTATTAATGGAAATATAATAAAAATTACTTTAATATTCATAAAAAAAATAAAAATTAGATTATACCTACCTTGAAAGAGGTTGATGGAATAATTTTAAATAGTATTTTGACTGTGCAATTAAATAGGTTGACTTACTAAAGAAATTATAGTAGATATTACTTTAATATTTATAAAATAAATAGAAATTAGATTATACCTACCTGTTGTAAATCGTACAATCCGATTAATAGCAAGACTTTCTATATAAATTGTTGCGCAAATAAAAATCGGAGCTCCGCCGGCGACTGAGGGGAATACTTCAATCGCATGCCAAACGTCGACCGGTGGGGGACGCCACCACCAACCGGAGCCCCATCAGCAATCAAAGACCAGACCACCAATCTCTGACAAACCACAACAACATAGGAGGCGTGCTACGTCAGGGGTGGCCGAGCGGTCAAGGACGACCCCGAGCCGTGGCTCCGCCGTCGCCAAGGAAGGCAATTCGACCAGAAATTGGATTGAGCGACGAGCGAATTTTTGGGGGTAGGGTTTATCGCCAGAGGCCAAATTTTTGAAATGAACCTATTTGTTTTCACGGTGAAAGTACCTTCAAAATGTTAGAATATCACTTGTAAGTTGTCCCACATTGTTCATACATAGAAAATAGACCCACCTTATAAGACTAATGGACTACCCCTCCTTCCACCAATTGGTTTTGGGATGGAACTCCACTTGGACTTTATATGGGCTTTCCCTGCTTATGGTGCGGTTCATGGTAGTGGGACCGCACCCCTTTAATCTCCGTTTCTGTCATGGTATCAGAGTCAGTTCTACTGTGCGATGACATACTCGTTTTTCCCCACGTACCCGTTTATGGGAGCATGTTTCTAGTTGGGCTTGGGCTTTCGAAGGACTCACAAGTGAGGGGGCGTGTTAGAATATCACTTATAAGTTGTCCTACATCGTTCATATATAAAAAATAGATCCACTTTATAAGATTAATGAGTTACACCTCCTTCCACCAATTGATTTTGGGATGGAACCTCACTTGGGCTTCATATGGACTTTCCCCACTTATGGTGCACTTCATGTTAGTGGGACCGCACTTATTTTCCCCAGTTTCTGTCACAAACTATGAAATAAAATGAATTAAAATGTCAACAAACAAAACATTGGAGACAATCAGATTAAAATATTGTTATGGATCTCATTTCCTCATCCAACTTGCACAAAAAATAGGTACAAATAAATTATTAAATTGAAAGAGAATAAATGACGAGAAAAAAGAAGTAAAAATTGACGAGTCCTCTCGGGGTTAGGGGGCTGCTGTGACTAACTTACAGCAGCCCCAGCTGTTAATTTTGGGCCATTGGATCATACTAAAATTAAAATAGATCCAAGGGTTGTAAGCAAATAATAAATAAAATATTTTTATACTTGATAAATATGTGGCACAAAGTAGCAGCTCTCTCTGGCATATCCCTAGTCTCGCTCAATTTCCTTTCTACCTTCATTTTTCTCTATTTTNAAATCTTTATTATTATTTTCTACTTATTATGAATAATCTTTTATATTTTTTTGGGAATAAGGTATGACAAAAATAAATTGATTATACTTAATAAATCTAAGGTGTTGAAGGAGGCGGCTGCGGCGGTGGCGTCGTGCCAGAGCTTGAACCTCCGCGGGAGGAGAACGCGGCCGGAGTTATTGAAGAGATTGAAGTCGGCGGAGGCGGAGTCCGGGGTGACTTGAAGGGCGTCGTTGCTGAAGGTGGCGGGGCTATCCACTTGGAAGCTCGGCAAGCTCGTGGGCTCAGTCCGAGTGCAGGTCGACTTGGGTCAAGCCCAGACGCCCGCCGTGTGCCAGAACGCGTGGCTGACGCTCAGCGGGGATGAGTAGCAGATGTGTGTTTGAGGAGTAAAAAACGTGTAGTTTATATGGTGGTTTGCCAAAAAAATGTTTATATGGTAAAACGTCAAAATCGTGATAGTTCAGATGACAAAAAGTTATTTATCTCGCGCATCGCAGGCTACCGTACTAATTCGAAAAAGAAGGGGCCCTGCAAAACGGCGTTCACGCAATGAAGGGCGCACAGTTTGGACTCCTGCACCTCGTGGTACAGTATAATTCCCATATTTGCTCGGTATGTTTTTCACTTTTTCTTTTTCTCTCTATTTGGGAATAACGAGACAGGGCGATTATATAGATAATTATAGCACACAAAGGAGAATTATATGCAGATGAATCCTTACCATCGGTTGATTGAGTTTCGGCTTTGGGAGCTTTCCCTATTATAAATATGAATATAAGTGTTTAATCATCTTATATCTACACAAAATCATAATCTTCTTTGATATTGTTTAAGAATAAAAAGATTAAAAGTAAAATAAAAATGGGTCCTGTTTTTAATTTTCATTAATACATTTTCATTAAAAAAATGTATCAATCACGGGATAAAGAATGCGTAATGGAATGATCATTCCATTCCCATGTCATCCCCTCATACCAAACATGACATAACAGAAATATGATAACTATTAAATAAATTCTGATTGATTTTAAATTAACAAAAAAAATATGATAACTATTAACAAATAAAATAATAATTAACTTGTGATAGTTAAATTAAATTTTCTTAAAATATAAAAAATTTAAGTTGATTTTTTAAAATTTTGACATAAATTTTAAAGACATTCTTATTTTATTTAAAATGTAATAGGTAATTATATTACACATAATTTTGAGATAATCGATAAATATTAGGTATGTTATTTCATAAACTACATAACGACCCCGTTCGTGGTCGAGGATGTGTTCGTGATTCAAGTTATGTTCCATTGTGATCGGATCCATAAACCAATTAAGGTACGCTTCTGCTATCTAGTTTGATTCTCGATTATTTGATATGAATGCTAATGGGATAAAATGATGATTTTCGCATAAGGTTAATTCCAACAACGGGTTACTTCAAATCTTTAATGATGTGCTGTCTGTTAATTTGAATTTGATTTTGTTCCTCATGTAATGTGGTATTCAGAATATTTGATTTGCCTGCTTAAGTTTGTGTAGTTCCTGATGATTAAGCTAATCCAGCACAATTCTGAATTAGTCTCCATTGATTAGCATTTCGCATAGTTTTTGTAGTGCTTGTTCATGTCGAAAAAATAAAGGTAATGGTAATGATACTACAACATTTGCTGAATTTGGTTAGCTTTTTTCAAATAATTTGAGATTGTCTGATGGGTTAGTCTTGTTGATTTTGAGTTTGTGCCTTATGAAATGTGGTTTTGGACAGTTGAGTTGCTAGCATAATTTTGTGTAGTTCCTGGTGATAAAGCTAATTCAACTGAATTCTGAATCAATCTGTCTCGGTTAGCCATTAACGTTGTTTGTACCGGAAATAATGGGTAATGGTAATGATACTAAGACTATGTTTGTTAACCAAATAAGTTAGCTTATAACTTATTTGGTTTGCTCATATAAGTTTCATGTATTCAAATAAGTTTCGTTTGGTAGAACGAGCTTTTTTAAAAAGCTCGAGTTTATCTCATAAGCTTCTTCGGGTAAATTTTTAAATAAGTTCGTTAAAATTTTTATTTCAGCTAGCTTATCACCTAATTTTACCAAAAAACTTCTTATCATATAAGCTAACTTTAGTTATAAGCTCAAAAATCACTTATCAGCTATCAGCTAGTTTTACCAAACATAACCTAAAACACTTGCCTTATTTGGTTTAGCTACTTTCAAACAATTTGAGTTTCTCTGTTTCTGTGTTAAGAGACAGGTTACTTTAACTCTGCCATGTCCGTTGATTTGAATTTGATTGAACATTGTTAACATTCCTTGGAGCTGTTAGTTTCTTACTTGGATTATTTGCACGTCCAATTGTCTTTGTTTTCTGTTTTTTTACCAGTGATCAATAGCCTGTGCTAGCTTGTGTGGGACAATTACTGATATATCACTTGTGCTTTATCCGTGTTAAAAGTTTTCCCAATTGAACACTTTTTATGTTAATACGCTAATCAACCGAGTTTAATTTTCTGCAGTCACTCCTTCATATGAACTTAGTGTCTTGCCTTGGTGTATTTTTCCTGCTAAAACATGCTCTTTCATGTAAAAACGCAATATGGTTCCAATTTTCTTTTTTAATGATTCCACACCGTCAGTTTCACTTTCACATACATGATTAATTTATTCAAAACCAGATAAAATTCAAATCCATTTCAAGTGTCCCAAAAAACAACAAACAAAGTACAATCTCAACTTCAATGCAAAGAAAAAAAATAA